ACCGCATGACACGCAGCGAAGAATGCATACATGCATGGCGTTTGGAGCCGTGTTTAGGCCGGTGATATGCCATAATCACTGAAGTGAGCCGCTTGATGACCCAGTGAGGAGCAGTAATCTTCAATGGGCCACCGCAGTTTTTGTCTTTCAGTGTTCAGGTAATGTACCTTCATTTGGACAAACGATATGCATGCAGTTTTGCACATGCATGAACAACATTCTGCTACTTTACGTTGCCGTTTTAAGTTTACGTTGTCGTTTTTGGTTCTGCATATTTGGTCCCGTGGGACCAAACCACGGGGCACCGCAAACATGAAATGAGTAAAAGGTGCGTGACATTGACACAAAAACGTCTCCGGAGTGAGAAGGTACGGCTAATTTGATCGCCCTGACGACAAACTGTAATCTTGCTCCTGTTAAGCTGACTTTTTTAATATTTCAGATTTGATACCAGATTAGGTAACTGTCCAATAATGCTTGTGTGAAAGGGCTAGGAATGTACTTACCATCATGTCACTGCCTCCTGCTTTAAAAGTTGGCGTATCATAGAGTTTTATGGGCTAGTGTCACATGTGGCCACGCAGTGCCAAGTATTTCACGATGCTCAAATTGAGGTGTTCTTTTTCGTTTCGCACGAAAGCTGCATATGACAAGCTGAGGAGGTATGGAATCATGTAGGTAAAGAATCATGTAGGTAATCATAAAGGAATGTAGGTAAAGCACGGCTTACACGATATGTAATTGCTCAAGCTTGCATGTAGATCCTGTGCATGAAATGTGCAGCAAAACAAGGCGTGTACTGCATGATTCTCACGGCACCACAGCGGCTGGAGTTAAGCACCATAGTTTCGAACGCTACATTGTAGAGGAAACCTTTGCCGTGAATAAATTACCGTAATTGCCGTGCATATGTGATCTGAAGCACTCACACAATAAACGTGCGTCGAAGAGTAAAACATGAGAGTCCCGTAGTTTGCATTTTATCGAGCTATGTGAACTCAACCTGAAGATAAATAAATAGATGTATATGTATAAAAACATACATGCCTCCGTGTATATATACAAAGTTACGCACAAACACTCACACACACACGCACACGCACACGCACACGCACACGCACACGCACACGCACACGCACACACACACACACACACACACACACACACACACACACACACACACACACACACACACACATATATATATATATATATATATATATATATATATATATATATATATATATATATATATGCATATCCACAGATCACCTGTCATTATGTGTGCTCGTATGGTATTTTCACATTTTTGGCATGATAAACCACTTTCGTGTGTGGTTAAACCTCATGGTGTTCGAGTTACTTTTTTGTCTGCCGATGCAGCCGCTGCCAGCTGTGAATTCTCCTGGCCGATCTGTACCAACCGTATCCTTAGTTCTCGCCACTAACCACTACCGTGGCCAGTGGTCCGTCCACTGGCCCATTGCCAGTATTTCAACATGCACACTTGAAGAATTTCTCGCGCAACAAGCACGGTTAGAAATGCCTGCACACCTGAATCAATGAAACCATGGGGCAAATTTTGTCTTCGTGCCATTCATATTTTTTTAGCGGCATTGCCTTGTTCCAGCAGGCGAATGGTTCCATGAAACCCACCACTGGATGGTGAGGTACCGCGAGTACGTGTCTGACATAGTTTGCCAGCCCACTTCACATCCATACAGCCATTACACTGTCCGGCCTGCGATCGTCCGCTGAAATGGGTCCGGTCGATGCCTGCAGCGTGCCGGTGGTGGTCGTGCGTCGGTGCCGTGCCGCCCTGCAGTGCCGCGCCGGCTCGCACGCGCTACCCACAGCCGTACCGCCCTGTGGTGGTGCGCCGCGCCGCGTGCGCCACCCCCAGCTGGGTGAGTCAGCGAATGCCGGCCAATCGTCACGCTGACCACGCTGCCTGCTGCACGGTACACCGGGTGCGGCGACTCTCGTGAGGCGGCGGCGGCGGCCCGGCACCCGCCCGGCTGCCTGTCTTCGGGTCCGACACCCGCCCGGCTGCCTGTCTTCGGGTCCGGCACCCGCCGGCCTTCATGTACTCGTGTTCCGGCCGCCCGCCCGGCTGTCTGTCCTTCGGGTCCGGCGCCCGCACAGGCTGTCTGTCCTCGGTTCCGGCACCCGCCCGGCGTCTGTCCTCGGGTTACGGCAACCCCCCGGCTGTCTGTCCTCGGGTCCGGCAGCCGCGCCCGGCTGTCTGTCTACGGGTCCAGTGCACCAGCCCGGCTGTCCTGTCTACGGGTCCAGGCACCCCCCCTGGTCCTGTCTGTCCTCGGGTCCGGCACCCGCCCGGCTGTCTGTCCTCGGGTCCGGCACCCGCCCGGCTGTCTGTCCTCGGGTCCGGCACCCGCCCGGCTGTCTGTCTTCGGGTCCGGCACCCACCCGGCTGTCTGTCTACGGGTCCAGCACCCGCCCGGCTGTCTGTCTTCGGGTCCGGCACCCACCCGGCTGTCTGTCCTCGGGTCCGGCACCCGCCCGGCTGTCTGTCCTCGGGTCCGGCACCCGCCCGGCTGTCTGTCTTCGGGTCCGGCACCCACCCGGCTGTCTGTCTACGGGTCCAGCACCCGCCGCGCCACGACCCGCTGCTGCGCAGCCTCACGCCGGCCAGCCGCGCACGAGAAGGCGCCCCGGACGCCCCCTCCCCCGCGGCGTAATGGGCCCCCCTTTCGGCCGGGCGACCGGTGTTGTGTCAGCGCCCGGGCGAGGAGTCAGACCACTCGTCGAACGGGCGCAGGGTGGAGCCGCCCCGCAGGTGGGTGGACGCTCGCTCGCCAAACAAGGACGCGCGATGCGGCCACCCGCTCACCGCTCGCCCCGATGAAGGCTGCTGACCGCACCTGATGATGTCACGCCGCCAGACGGTTGTAACGGAAAACGCGACGCCTGCGGATGCCTCAGAACGGACCAGGATGTCTATGAGCCTCCGAGCACCCGTGTAGTGACTGGTGCGGGAGCGCCAGAGCACCGGTGTCGTGGCTGGTCGGGAGCGCCAGAGCACCCGTGTAGTGGCTGGTACGGGAGCGCCAGAGCACCGGTGTGGTGGCTGGTACGGGAGCACCAGAACACCCGCGTAGTGGCTGGTGCGGGAGCGCCAGAGCACCCGTGTAGTGGCTGGTACGGGAGCGCCAGCGCACCGGTGAAGTGGCTGTTCGGGAGCGCCAGAACACCCGCGTAGTGGCTGGTGCGGGAGCGCCAGAGCACCGGTGTGGTGGCTGGTACGGGAGCGCCTCCACACATTGGCAAACACCAACAAGCTCACGCAAAAATGGCATTTCCTCACGCTGCATGCTACTTCATTGGCATTGCTCGAGCACGGGCCCACGGGTGCTCTACAGGGCATTTTTACGGTTATCTACCTGAAAACGAGATTACGCAGAAGAGCGGCTATCCATGCCACAACACCAAGGGCCGTAGTCATTCCTGACAACCTGCCTTCATGCATAAACAGTTCTGTGCCCAGCTGATGACGTGCTGGCTGGCTGAGGCCGTATTAGGCTGTCCGACACGTGACGTGCAGACTACAAATCAATTACCTTAATTATTACCTGTTTTTATCATTTAAAGACGTCGAATACAGCGATTTGGGCATTCCAACCACATCGCTTAAAGGGACCCGCGGCCTACCAAAGCGTTTGTAATTACATTTTTCCAACACCGGGCGAAACGTCCTCATTCCAACGGGGCAGCTTTACAATACCATGAAACCCGGAGCACGTGATGTGCTGAGAATTCCACACCTTGCCTTCGGCTGCAATACTTAACTGAAATGCTGCGATGATGAAACTGTCACTTTGCAGTGGTCGCCTTGCATTACAAGCGTTAAGTAAGGAAGGTCCATCAAAAATAATTATTGGGTTTTATACATGAAAATATGCGCTATGCAGTTTCGATCCATACAATATCTTTCTTTTTTCAAAGAGCTTCATGCGTACGTAGTGATAGGACCAAAAAGCTTTGGCCTAGCACGAGGTCAATAGGAGGGGAATACCATCTGGTGGCGGTGCTTCCTTTCCTTTGGAAGGGCGAATACCACGTGGTGGTGTTTTCATTGCAAAACTCCTTTCAAGGAGAAAGATCCCAAATGCACCAGCACAATATGCCATAGCTTCATGTTCGTTAGTCCTCTCCTCCCCCCCCCCCCAAAGAAAAATTGGAAGGCAAACTCTTTAGTCACTTAATGGCTTTTATAGGCACGTCAACTTAATAGTTATTTGAGCCAAGGCGAAATCTTCTTATTTGTTTCAGATACATAAACATAAAAATAACTGGGTAAATACACTCGATGTTGAGATTAGAGGAAGACGAATGCATGAGGTAAATGCCAGGACACGCAAGCAGGCCCTGTGGCTTCCGGACGGCTGTCAATGGAAGATCGAGGTATAGAGGCCTGCTTATCATTTGCGCCTTCGAACTGGTCAAGACCATGTACTGCTCACCCACAGGAAACAGAAAAAACAGTTCACATGGGATGCTGTCGCATGGGCATAGGATGCATGTGCTTGAGATCCCAACCTTCGCACCTATAAAAAGGCATCAACAGGTTGAAATTTAACCATTGCATCGTGCAAACTTTCGCTCAACTTCTAGCCGCATATACCTATCATGTTCCATAACAATTCCAAAGCACATTTAATGCTTCTCATGCTACCCAAAGTGAAGTACACGCGACTTCCATGCCTTGACGCAGCCATCCGACATGAGGAAGAGTTGTGCTGCTAGCCGCTGTCGCAAGCCAAGGCACACCAGGCGACCAGGTTAGAAACAGCTGTTTGCACAGACCCACTACAAAACGCACGAAACCAGTTCTTCTGTGGTATCGCTGTACCGGTCTGGGTTCACTTGAAGGGGGCAGGGGGTTTACCTGAAGGGGGCTCATCTGAAGGGGGGGGGGGGGCTCACATGCAGGGGGTGGAGTGGGGGTGGGATGGGGTGAGGTTGGGGACGGGGCTTACCTGCAGTGCAGACGCCACTGAAACATTGGCTTCCTCCATGGTGACCGGACCAACCTGGAACCGCAGAGATGGAGTTAGTGGACGCTGCCCCGCTCCTGCACGTCACACTGAGAGCGCCAGCCAAGCTCGCTTTGACGGGGCGACGTTCAGGCTTTCTGTGACACTGGGCGCAAGGTTTCACGACATCCTGACCACAAGACTACCTCTGTTCACGCATTGGTAGACGGAGTCCCGCTCCCTGACGCTCCGGATGAAAATCCAAAGCCGGCCCGCAGCGCCATCTACGCGCCGCTCACTGCCTTTCGGCCGGACTCGTCGAATTTCAGTGGCGGCGCTAGTGTCGCGCCTACTTGCCAGTTCATGAAAAGGCGTGAGGGAAAATGGGCCAGAATCATATTACATAACGACGCACCATGAAATGGATAGAAGGGCCCTGTGCGAATGATTCACCCTTAGAAACACCGCGAGATTAGGCACTCATGGACGAGCGCAATGTAACGTTATTTTGAGCCCCGACACCGCACCAGGTGGCGCCACCGGCTCCCAGCGTCCCGGCCGCCGGCGTGCGCCCCCACACAAACGGTGTGAAGGGTGTGCGCAGGTGGGGGGGGGGGGGGGGGGACACGTCGCGCCAGGCCATACTGGAGTACGCTGAGGTCCAAGGGCAGCCAGGAAGGGTCACGAATGACGAATGGTGTTTTAAAATGGCGGGCTTTTGTGTCAGCAAAAGGCAACATCTGGATGTAGGAAGTATATGGCGACGGGGAAAAACACGGATGGGGAGTACAACCGTGTTTCGCGACATGGTGTAGGCGGCATCTCTCTGCGTTCTTTTCGTGTTTTCTTCAGTTCTATTTTTAGGTGAGCTACAAATGAAGGGTTATAGACCACACACAAAGCAACACCAAGGTTTTAGACCACTTTCGTTCCCATTTTCGAGCGGAATGATCAAGATATGCAATGGTGAACCACCATCACATGAACGCGTTAATTCGGAATTCGTTCACTCTTACGGCGTGGCGGTCGGGCAGAGAAAACCACGGCTCGGGAGCGATTATGTTGTCGATACTTCCGACCCGGGGTCCCCCCAAAGCATCTTTTCCTCGCGAAGCAGGCAGCACGATTACCACTGCCGCCACCCCAAAGTCCGATACGAAAAGTCATTAATGTGATTAAGAATACACGGCGGCTATCAGCCAGTTCATTTTTCAGCATGAGACCGCGTGCTGCTAACGGGTGGTAATTTATCAAAGAATAAAATGAGCGATCTACCAAGGTCCATATTAGGATATGCCGGAAGCCGGGATCCAACGCAATTACCCTGGCATCTTTAATACGATTCAGTCCGGTATGCTGCATTGCGCCCGTGGGATTACTGCTACGTCATGTAGCGGCGTGTAATTAAGCACTGAGCGTCGGCGCACCCTCTGAAGTTTTGCGGGCCAGATCATGGTTCCATAAGAGCAGTTTCACTGAATCATTTCAGGGATTTGAGAGGCTCATCGAGCACTAAATGACTTAAGGCAACCTCGACTAAAATCGAGTCGCAATGTCCGGCCCCAGTGTCCTGGTTAACATTACACTATCCTGCACAGTGTTCACAGAACAATGCTGCCTAAAATACTAAACAGAGCAGCGATTAAACACGTCTCTACACGCTGTAATCCAATTCAAAGCTTTCTTTATGAAGCAAAGCTAATAATCCAAGTGTTCATTAAACCACGGCGAAATCTAGCAAAAGTTCGCTGAATGAATCCCGCGTTCATGACCCGTTTCCCTATCGAACCACGATGAAATAGTACAGCAGACAGCAGAAGCATCGTTTGAGTCACTCGCGCACATTTGGTTGCTGCGTCTGGATGCATCCGATTCAGACGGTGAGTCAGGAGCATGGCGTCCTGATTTCAACGACTACCGGTCAGGCCAATGCCGAGAAATACTCACCGAGATTTCGCTGAAGCCGTGTGAAGCGGCAAGCCTGACTCAAAGTTAAGCGCGCGTATCGTGCACCGCCTTATCCAGCGCTGAGCTAATAAGACTGATTTGTATGGGTCGGTTGGGCCAGACGTGCCGCGGCCGGCGCATAAAGCCCGCTCCATGTCGAAACCTGATCTGCCACTTCACTACCGCCGCACAAGGAAGTTCATACCTTCAGCATACGGGAGGGAGGTCTGGCTACCGCTTAGGCAGGCTGTGTCGTAGTGGCAGGACAGGACTGACACGATGACGGTATGTCACGGGATGGGAAGCTTATTTTTTTCGGAGCCTACAGCAAGTCATAATTTGTGCATATGCTTGGAGCTACTTTAACGGTATTCATGTACACCTCCCAGATTATGACAAACTTTGCAAGTGAATCGAATACAAACGATGGGTATAGTTAGCGAAGGCATACACTTGTCATGAAGGCCACCCAGCGCTTCAAATCATCATAGCTTTACGAGCCTTGTGTCTGCTTTGTAAACCTTTTTCTTAGTCAATCCAATGCAGGCAGTTTAAATAGATTTTCAACTTTAAAAATTATGTAACGTGATGCGGTTCAAGTGAAAGGCAAATTCATGGCCTGTTATAGACATTTATGACGTCCAGTTGACATACAGGTCCCAGCATTTATGACGTCCAGTTGACATACAGGTCCCAGCATTTATGTCGTCCAGTTGACATACAGGTCCTAGCGTATTTGAAAAGTTGCAATCATCTGCCGTTTGGAATTTCAAAATATCGTATTTTTGTCCGCGATTTATCATCGTATCACGATAAAAAAAGGAAACGGGGTCATTATTCCGGACATTTCCAGCCCTTCCCTGATTACGCGCTGGTAACGCTGGCTAATCCCTCCGCGTCTCGTAACGATACGTTAAGGTAATGTTCCCAAAAAGGAACGCCCGTTTGACCCCTAATTGGGCTAGAAATGCGAAAAAAAGGCGGACGGATATCTTGTGATGGGAGAGAGCCAACACCACGCGATTTAAAAGCTAAGCCTGCTTTTAAAAGATTTTAGCAGGAATACAGCCCATCTGAGTATAACGTTACGCTGTCCAGAATCTCCACCACCCTCCCATGTTACGCTTGCGTTACGCTTCATCCCTGTATCCATTTCATGCGTGACGTAATTTATGGACGACCCCTATTGGAAACCAAGGTTTTGAGATGGCCAACCGATAATGTTCACCCTGTCTGGCCGCAGCCCAGGTAAAACCCCTCAGGCAATCAACGCGCAGACCTATCAGTAGTATCTAGTGACCTTAGAGATCATTGCATACATTTATGGTGGTCCTGTTCGGCAGTTCGATGGACTATAATTTGATGGGCCCCATCTGTTACTTTTTGCCTGATTTCCCATCGAACCTTGAGTAAATCAAGGCGGGATTCTTTGCCCTCCCGCCGAACCGGAAAAAGGGGTTGGCCATGAACTATCGTAATATGTGGACAGAGGCGATTTATTGCGATATGTGTGGAGATTGGGGGCTGTTACCGAACACATCGGGCCATTTTCAGTGGAGGACGAGCGAATTGAATTTTGTGTTTTTTTGTCGTGTGGAAACTTGGCACGGAAACGGAAAAAACGGGCTTTGAAAGAATGTTTATGACCACAGATATCTGAAGCCCGTAGGCCATGCTGAATTTTGTCATATGTTGGCATATCAGTAATGTAACATATCAGCCCACACACACTTCCTCTGTAGCATATTTTTCTTAAGTCTATCAGGTTTGGTGGACACCCTCAACGTGCTTTTGGAAGCGTATCTTTGCTCAGCCCCTCCCAGCATATGAGCGTCAAACCAGACAGCGAAGGAAATAGAAAAACAAGCGCCGGAATCCCAGATTCTGCATCAGGCACGAATGTGGACACCTCGTGGATGACACGCGCCAGAGCACTTCTCTGTGACGATGTAGCAGACGCACGTCATCAGCAGTGTTTGTCCTCAGCCACTCAAACCGGCGCGTGCCGAAGATAAGGCAGGCGCAATCGGCCGATAAAACACGTAAGGGTCAACACCCGATAGCATGACAAGCATTCTTTGATCTGTAATGAGAACGCCACCTTCCTGATAGAGAATTAGATCGCGCGCGATAAGTGACTCGTACGCACACAAAGCTGGCTTCAAGCACAGAGGCTCTCAACGAGCTAATTCAGGGCTCAAACAGTCTCTCAGGCGACCCAGGCGTGATAGCCGTGACCTGCTGTGTAAGATAGCGTCGGGGTGCATAATTACACCCCTAGTCGAACCTCTCCGGCCTTCCTCTCGCCGGCACGTAAGCCACGTGCGTCCGATGGAAATGCGAAGGCCGAGCGTGGAGCCGGCCCCCTCTCCGGCATTCTGGTCGAGCGCGGCCGGCGGTGACCATTTTATCGATTGTTCCCGCATGCCGCCTGCTGCTGTCGGCAGGCGCTTCTGACCTTGACCCCGCCGCCGGCCACGGTCACGCCGCCGATAACGAACCGCTTGCCGCACGCCCGCGGCGGTCGGGCGGGCGCGAACTGCGTTCCCGGAACGGAGGAGCCGACCCCAATTTATCAGGCGCGCGCTCGTGTGGCCGCGTTCGGGCTGATTTATCTCTGCGGTGGCAGCAAGCGTTTGTGGTGCGAGGCGCCGGACCGCCGTAATCGCTGGCCGCGTGCTCCCCGCGCATTGGACAGCGGCCATTTGTTATTTATAACAGTTTTGTTTGCGCGAGCAGCCCGGTTTGCGGCGAGTGCTTGCTTTTACCGCCGCCTCGCGTACGACGTGGCCTCGCCCGCGCATTGAGGTAATCGGGACAAAGAGCAGACGCGCAATGAGGAAGAGCGCGGCTGGCGGTCAACACGCGCTCGGCACCCGCCTTTGTGACCTCTGACACGTGTTTCCGTCCGTGGGTCCGTGGGGGTCGGGGGGGGGGGGGGATCCTCGGCCGACCAGATCCGCGGCGGCCGCGGCAGGGGCTGGGGACTGTCTACCAGACGCTGGCCCGCCGTCCGTGGTGGAAGGCAAGTGGTGTCGGAAACGGCTGTTTGTTCGCCAGATGGGCTGGCCGCGAACGCGAATGTGACAGCGAAAAAACGGGGCTTGGTG